CCTTTTTAGCTGGTGTTGAAAATGGTGTTTTGGTAATTGAAGTCGAGCTATTGTCCATTTCAGTTAAAAGATGCCGTCGTGATTATACTAACGAATTACAATTTGATGAAATTGAAACTTACAAACCAGAAACAATAAGAATCAACCTTCCAGATGAATATACATATAAAGCAGCTGTTGAAACCTGTTATTGTATGGCCATAAATACTCAAGTAATTCATGTTTTTTAATTTATGATTCCAAAAGATCTTACTTAAAAATACAAAATAAATAAAAATAAATTGAATTATTGGTAAAACATTATTTTGGAAAGATTTATTTTAATTAATAAAAAATTAAAAAAAATTAAATTTCATTTTTTGTAAATGAAAAAAAATTTTTAAAAAATAATTTTAGAATAACCTCAATATATAAAAATATTTAAAAAATTATATTTTAAAAAATAACTAATCTTTATTAAAACTAAAAATTACTAATTATTATTATTTATAAATTCTTTAACTAAACTATTACTTATTACTTTCTCTATATTATTTTCTCTAAAAATTATTTTTGAATTTTAATTTATACTGAAAAATATTATTTTTAAAAAATTAAAATTAATTTAAAAATTGTGTTTAAAAATATTTCATTTTAAAAATGTGTTAAAATTTGACATTGATTATAAAATAATGAATGTGAGTTAATATCTGATAAATGTGATATTCGTTTATAATTATTATTGTAAATTTGTATTGATTTTAAAATTGTTATTATATCACATTTTGTAATGAGTCAGTATCAACATCTTTAAGGTGATTTTTATTTTTAACAATCCTAAAATAGCAATAATTAATTTTATAATAATATTCTTAAAATAGTAATAATTAGTTTTATAATAATATCTCTTAAAATAGTAATAATTAGTTTTATAATAAATAACTCTTAAAATAGTAATAATTTTCCATAAATAATATATTTAGTTGAAAATGTCACATGTTTAACATATATACATTCATGTCAACTTGTTTATGACACTATAAATACTGATACACCTGAAAAGCTACAAAACTTTATAGATGAATTACAAATAAAAATTAAATAACAAAAATTATTTAACAAAAATTAAATAACTAAAATTAAATAATCAAAATTAAATTACTAAAATTTTTTCTAAAAATAAATTAATAAAAGTCGTGTTAACCTTTGCACCATTCTTATAGAAGGGGTAAGTCAAAAATTTGTGGTTAGCAATTAACTATAAAAATCCAAATTTTTTAAAATCAAATTCCAAAATTTCATTTTTTCTCATGAGAAAAATAATTATAATTTATTTTTGTAAATATATTATTTTTTATTTTTATTTAATGATTTATATAGTTTTGTAGAGAATTATTTTGTGTTTGTATGTGTTTAAATTATTTAATTATTAGAATAAAAAAAAAATAAAAAAATATTCTTATTTTTTGGTCATTTTTTATTTTTATATTTGTGTGTGTAAATATTCTATTTGAGATAATTATATAATATATTATATAGTTTTGTAGATAATAATAATTTTAATTTATTTATACTAAAATTAAATTTAAACAAATGTATAATATTAATTTTTTTAATCAAAATGAAAAAAAAAAAATAAAAAAAAAAATAAAAAAAATAAAAAACCAATTTATATAAAAACCCTTCATTTATTATTTTTAATATCATTCCATTATTTATTTATATATATTTATCTTATAATTTTTTACTCAAGAGGTTTTATTTAAAATAAAAATGGTCAATTTTTTAAAATAAAAAAAAATTGAAAAAAAAAATATATGTAAAAATGGTTCTAAGTCTAACAAATTTTATTTATATTTAATTTTTAAAATATTATTTTAGAAAATATTATTTTTTTTATTATTTTTTTATTTCGGTTTTTTTTTTAAAATTTTTTTTTTAAAATTATAATTATTATAATTATCAACAAATTTATAAAATGAATACTTTCAATAAAAGAAAAGCAATCAATGAATTAAATCAAAGTCGGGGAAAATTGTAACTGAAGAACTCTCTTTGGTTGATAGTGATACGTATGCAAGACTTGAAAATAAAAATTATGGAATATCATTAGAAGAGGTAATTAGTTTGTTTTTCAATAAAATATTTGTAAATAGTTTTTTGGAGATAACAAATCTCAATTTAAGTAAAATCAACTCAGAAAAAGAAGAGATTTATGAAAGAGAATTTGAAGGAGGTTCCAAAAATGTATAAATTTAAGCCTATTTCAAGGATTACCAAAGAAGAGCTTTTTGAATATTGGTCTATTACCTTAATGTTAGATTTGGGTGTTTTTAAAACAATTATGGAAATTATAAACCATAGTAATACAAAAATGAAAAGAAACAGATTTTTTTTGGTTCAATCAACAACCAAATTTACAGATGATCAAATTAAAAGAATTGCAGGTGAAATGAGTAATATTAGTTATGATTTGGTAGAAGGAATTAAAGCTTGCACCCTTGACGAAACTATATATAAATATATCCTAAATTCAGATTCAAAAGAGAAATATATTCAAGATAATAATAAATCTCCAATTATGTGTATACCTCGTAAACCTCATGAAAATGGTCTTTTAAGTTATATTGTTGGAACCTTTTTAGAACGTATTCATCATTTGTCATCCCCTAAAAAAAGCCCAGAATCATCACCAAAAAGAGGGTCTTTTAAAGAATTCAAATATCCATATATTATTGAGTTTTTAAACAAGTTAGATAATGAAATAAATCCCTCAAGTAGTGTTGATCACGTATTAGGAACGTATAAAGATTTTAAATTTCATTTAGTTGGAGATAGTGCATTTTTTTCCAAAGATAATTTAAATCATATTGTAAATAAAGGTTGGTTGGCAACAATTTCAGATTCCTCAAGTAGCAATATTAACACATTGCTCAAAGATACATTAAAAAATGATAAAAGTTGGATTGCAATAGAACTTGATGGTTATTATAAAGTCTGTAAAATTGATGAAAGAGACGAAAAATTTCCTACATTTAAATCAATTGCAACAACTGGTTTTAAAACTCAAAATCGTGAAGTTAATCCAAGTAAAGGTTATAATATTAGTGATGCAGTGGATCTTTATAAATTAAATGTTTCAACTTTAAAGAAATGTTTAGATTTAGGAGTTTCAAGATCAAGTAGTAATAGGAGAATGGTTATATCAATTTGTGGTATATTATCTCATTCAACCAACCCCAATTCGTACTCATTATTATCAGAAGCAATTCAAAAAGATACTTTAAAATCATATTCATTGGTTAAACTCAAAAACTTGCATCAAGATTTTAATTTACCAGCTCCTGCCCAGTTAACATGTGAAGGTTACATTTTAGCTCTTACCAGACTTTATGAAAATGAAAACTTTGAATTAGATTCACTTTTAAAAGACCTTTCCCAATCTCTAAGAAAGTCTCCTCCATTAGTATCAGATTTTTATAAAAAACAGTTCAATGTAATAGATATTCATAACAGATATCTATATTCAGGTGGTATTCATGAATATGTTAAAAATTGGAGAATATTTGCTGTTTCATGTTTAATCAAGTCTTATATCATCAATATCTCTTCATTTTATATGTCAATTACATCAAAACACATGAAGTTTGAAGAATTTAAACAAATTTTCATACATAGCATCAGAGAAGTTAATTTAGTCCCAAAAAGTCCATCCTCAAATCAAAATCAAAATCAAAATTTTTTATTTATCCAGAAATCTTGTATTTTAACTATTCACCATCTTTTTCAAGCTCAGTCATATATATAACTACGTTCTACAACCTCATATTTATATAATTGATAAAATATTTTAAATAAAGATATTACAAAAAAATATTGTCTTTTCTTATTTTATTTTTTTTTTTTTTTTTTATTTTTTTTTTTTTTTTTTTTTTAACTTTTATATATTTTTTTTTTTTTTAATTTATATTTCATGTTCATCTTTATATAATAAATAATTATAAATTAAATCATATATCTTATGTGTAATGAAAATAATAAATGGAATATTTACAAGCAATAAATGATTTGATTATTATTTTTTCTATTTTTTTAATTTTTTTTTTTTTAAATTGATCAAAAAAAAATACACCTGATACACAAATTAACACAACAAATAATTTTCTACAAAACCATATATAAATTATGAAACAAAAAAAAATAATAATATATTTACCAATATAAAAATGTAATACATATGAGAAAATGGATTTTGGGATTTGATTTTTAAAATTTGGATTTTTATAGATTAATATAAAACGGAAATTACTCTGGAAATACTTATCACAGTGTCCTTTGTACCCGTACAAAGAATCATCAGAACATATTCTTCAAGTGTTAATCAGCCAATAAATCGTCAAATATAATAACTTGGCAATGGAGTGAACTTTTTATTGTGTTTATTAAAACCTGTGTATTATAATTCCTCCTCAAATTAGCAAAAGAGAAATTACTTAAAAAAAATAGTTTAAATGAACTCCTAATTTATATGTTCAAATCTATTGGGTGCTTATAATAGATTTTGATTAATTCTAGATCAATTTATTCTAAAAGATAATAATATTAATATTTTTCTAAATATATGAATTGGGTGTTTAAAACAAAAACTTTTATTACCATAATATGTATCAAATGAATTTAATTTATCACAACTGAAATGACATTTGATCAAATCAATAATTGGGAAATAATATTAAATAAAAGAAAATAATTTTTATGTTTTAAAATTTTAAAAAAATAAAAAAACTTTTATTTTTTTTGTTTATTTATATTTTGTTGTATTTTATTAAATAAAGGATTTAATAAAAAAAAAAAAAAAATTCTATTGGATTATATTTTTGTTTTTATTTTGTTTTTGTTTCTATTGACTCTTTGAAAGAAAATAGTTTTTAAATTGCCGAATCAAAAGATAAGAAATCAAGCTCTGGTTGTTGGCTATCACTAATATTTAAATTTGCTGATGGTGCTGAATTATTAATGGTTGGGGGTAAGTTAAAGAATGATGGATTGCCATGATTAATGTTATGATGATTGATAAGTCCAGTGCTACCATTTGTTGTAATACCCAAACCTGTAAACTGGTGATGAGTTGGTATAGTTTGTAAATGAAAGAATGGTGCCATTTGTTGGTGAGCCGAGTTTGGTAATATTTGTTGTGATGAATTATTTACAGGATGAAAATTTAAAAATCCATTTGAGATCATAACTTGATGACCCCCAATATTCTGTGGTGATGGTATTTGATTGGTTGGGGTTGGATGGCCATTATTAATATTGGGTGTTACCAATGGTGTTGATGGATTTGATGGGGTTTGTGATATATTGTTTGTAGATTGTATTAATGAATTTACTACAATTGGTGAAAAGCTCGGGTTGTTGGGTGGTATTACTGTGTTAGTTGAAGGTTTTGTTGCGGGTGGTGTTGAGGCAATAGTAGCCGATGCTGCCATTGGTGTTGCGGAGCCAGCATTTGTTGATGGGGTTGGAACTGGGGTAATAGCTGGTGTAGAATTTGATGTGGAAGCTGTTGTGTTTGAAGCAGAGTTTAAAGTAGGTGTATCTAATACAGGAGAAGGTAATGACAAAGAGGGTGAAGGTGAAGTGGTAGAAGATGAAGAAGAAGAAGAAGATTTCTTTCTACTTTTTGATTTCTTACTACTTTCAACTTCTGTATCGTTTGAAGATGACTTAGATCTAGACCTACTCGATGAAGATTTTGGAGTTGGTGCATCTTCAGAGGTACTACTACTTGACTTAGATGATGATTTTGACTTTGATTTTGACTTTGATTTTGAACTAGATTCTTTAGACTCTTTAGAATCTTTAGAATCATGAGATGACTTTTGTACACTTGATTTACCTGATGGTGAGTTTTTAGTTATTGATGACGTTGCTGTAGAACTTGTGGATGTGGTTGTTGATAATTGAGTTGCTGTTGTTGATTGACTTGCCAAGGAAGGAGAAGCCAATGATGTTATTGAGGAAGATGAAGACGACTTTTGTACACTTGATTTACTTGATGATTTTTTACCACTATTGCTATTACTAGAACTAGTATTAGTGCTACTATTAGTACCTGTATTAGTATTATTAATATCACTAGTAGTATTAGTTGGTGCAGTAGTGTTTGAACTATTATTTGTATTAATATTAATGCCATTATTGCTATTGTTATTGCTATTGTTATTGCTATTGCTATTATTGAAATCTGATAAAGAGGGTTGTTTTGATAAATTAAAAGGTACACCATCTATTGTTGGTAAACTAGTAAATAATTGGTGTGGAGTTTGAGGTATTTGCATAGGCTGTGGTATATAAATTGGAGGAATTTCTTTTTTCGTATGCTCTAAAAAAGAAGAGATACAGTTTTTTAACGGAACTTTGTGTTGACGTGTGTATGCCATTAAACTGCCCAAATCATTAAATACATCTGCAAATTCATAACACTTCATAATTTTATTAGGTATTCCAAATGAGTTTAAGGATGGTGATGGAGATAAAGTAAAATGTGATTGAACTGATTCCATATCAAAATAACCTTTACGCTTTAAATTATTATTATTATTAATATTATTGTTATTGTTATTATTACTATTTAAACCATTTAAATTATTTAAACCATAATAATTATTTTGACTATTTGTTATTAAAGGTTCAATTTCATAATTGAATAAAGCTGTATTTTCTAAAGAAACTGGAGTTGAACCACCATTACCATTATTATTAATATATGAATTTAATCCATTGTCTTTTTCATCCATACTGCCCAAATCCAATTCTGTTGCCTTCTTTTTTGGTGATAACAAAGTACCCTCTTCGTTGCTGGCCATCATAATATCAAATTCATCCAAAACACTATTGCTCTTCTTTTTTATTAGACCACTATCCTTATTCATTTCTCTAATTTGCTTGTCATTATTATCAATAAATGGCGATGATGAAACAGTTCCCTCAACGTTGCAATTCTCTTTAACGGTTTCTTGCTCTAAAATAGTTGATGTTTTAATTTCAACCTCCTTGTTAATTTGTTGTGATTTTATATTATTTACATTATTTTCTATTGTTGAAGTTTCTGTTGTTGTTGTTGTTGTAGTTGTTGTATTATTAATACTATTTTCAAAATTTGATGATTTTGGTTGTATTAATGAAACTAAAAATCCCTTATTACTATTATTATTTATGTTATTGCAAATATTATCCTCATGCTTTAAATTGTAATCAAGCTCAACTTCAGTATATAAATCAGTTTTAAAAAGAAAACTGTTGCTACTAGAACTATTATTATTAATTAAAAAGCTATTATTGTTGTTGTTATTATTGTTATTATTTTGGTCATTATTTGTTGGGAAATAAACTGGTGTTTGATTTTGAAAAAATGATTGGAATAAATTATTTATATAATCTTTAGGTATAAACTCTTGAAAATCATTAGATTCCAAATGAAATGATATTATCTTTAATTGCTCTGTGAAAATAACTTTAATTGAGCCTTCAATATGAACCTAATTGAAACAAATATATTAGAAATTTTGTTTAAAATTTATTTATTTATTAATTTTAAAAATGATTTCTTACGTGTAAATTTTTATATATTATAATAATCTTTGCTTTATCCGAATTAAATATTAAAACATCCTTATCCAATCGATTAACCACCGAATCTGAAAAATGAAATGATATGTTTTCAATTCCAGATTCAAATAAATAATAAAAATATCTGGGTAAACTATAACTATATAATTCTAATAAAATAATAGTTAGATTTATGAATTTTAAAGGGTTAAATAAACATTGTGAATACTACTTACCAAAAGTTTTTGGTTCATTTTCAATCTTTTGTAACTTTTGTTGCTGTTGTTTTTGTTTACTTTTGGTATTCTTTGATGTGGTTGGTTGTTGAACTGGTAATAACGGTAGTGGTGGTGATTTATCTAAATATTTATTAATTGTATGTTTGAAAACACCTCCCGTTATAAAATTATTTTTTATATATTTTTCCCAATATTCAATTGTATTAGAATCCGGTTTGTTTAATTCCTTTTTACAAATTTCCATCACCTTGCTTTGAATATCAAATAGACTGAACATTTTTCTTTACTTTTTCTTTTTGTTGTTTCAAAAACTGAGGTGAAATGTTTTGGTGGTCTTTTGTATATATTGGGTTTTTTTTTTTTTTTTTTGTATTGTAATTGATGTTGATATTGATATTGTTGGGATTTGAAATGAGTTATACAACAATACAATTCTACTCTATTCTACTCTATTCTTATCTTTTTTTTTAAAAAAAAAAAAAGAAGATCTATTGGTTAAAATCTTTTCTTGGTTCTATTTTTATAAAAAAATAATATATAACCCAAAAAAATTATATATAAATTATATAATACGAAAAAAAACAAAAAAGAATACAAAGGATATTACACCATAAATAACTGTATATATTTTTAATATATATACTGGTAAAAATATATGTTTATATAACTTAAAAGAAACAAAAAAAATAATATGATTTTTAAATTTTCTATTTTTTTTTATCAACAATAATTAAAAAAAAAAATAATTAAAAAAAATAAAAAAAATAATTTAAAAAAAATTTTAAAAAAAATAAAAAAATAAAATTTTAAAGAAAAAAAAAAATTATTATTATTTATGGAATGAATATAGATATAATTATGTCTATTTCATAAATGAAGTGTTTATTGACTACAATACAATTATAATTGTCGATTATGATGTTAATGTGTGGCTATTATAATTATATTAATTCCATTGGAATTAATATGTATGTTTTTTTGACTTTATTACAAATGGGGTATAAAAAAAGGAAAAAAAAAAATAAGGAAATTTTTTTTTTTTTTTTTTTTTTTTGTTTTTTTTTTGTTTTTTTTTTTGTGGAATTAAAATTATTTTTATACTTTTTTTAGTTATAATTATTATTGTATTATAACTATTATTATTGTATTATTATTATTATATTATTATTATTATTACTATTATAATTATTATTTACATTCAGAGGCAAATTAAACCTAATACTAAATTTATTTTTATTTACTTTTTTTTATTTCAAATAACAATTCTACAATCTATGATTTTTATATAATGTTTAAACAATAAAATAAAAAATAAAAATAAAAATAAAATTTAAAAATAAAATCTGTGATATAAAAAAATAATATTATAATTGTATACCAGCAATGGCAGTACATATACCAAAATTTTTTTATTTTTTTTTTTTTTAAAAATAACAAAAAAAATAAAATAAAAAAATAAAAAAAGAAAAAAATTTTAAAAAAAAATTTCAGTTATAATTAATAAAATAAAAAATATATAAATAACACACTGAAATATGGTTATAACTCAATAATAAAACATCTAAAAGTTTAAAATAGCACTCCATTTGTTCAGCTACAATAATCAACAATAACCATATTTAGTACAATAATCAATTTCAAATTATAAATATTTATATAAAAACAATTAAAGGTAAATACACAAAATCTAGATATTGCTAAATCATAATAAATATCATTATTTACTAATATTTCTATAATAATAAATTGTAGGTGTGTTCTATAAAATGTTGAGTAGATCTAATCACAGCCAAAACCATCCTCCTGAAATAATATTTTTCGATACCAATTTTTTGTTGATTTAAAAAAACGAAAAAAAATATAATAAAATAAATATTACCCCTTTTTTTTCTTTATTTTTTTAAATTAATTTGATTTTTATATTTATTTAAATAAAACAAACTGTTTGGGTCCCGACATCGACATTCCAACAAAAAAAATTAATCTTTAATAAAAAGTTTTTTTTTTTATTTTTGTTTTTGCTGATAAAATAATTATTTTATTTATTTTAAAATTTTTTTAAATTTTTTTTTTTTTTTAGTTTTTGTGCAAAAACAATTTTTTTTTTTTTTTAGTTTTTGTGTAAAAATATTTTTAACAATCACAATTCTGTATATATTGTACATATTCCAATAACATTTTTTGTATATATAATAAACACAAAGAAAGTTCCCCGGTTTTAAGAATAAAAAAAAATAATTATTTTTTTAAAATATTTTCGTATTTTGTATATCCTTAATTCTCAAAACAAACTGTAACATTTTAACAAATAATAGTAGCATAGAAAATAATAAAATAAAAAAATTAAAATAAAAATAACAGTTTTATAAGCAAAGTAAGAAAACAGTTTTTAGTTTCTTTTTTTTTTTTTTTTTTCATCACTTTTTTTTTTTTTTTCATTTTTTTTCATTTTTTTAATTTATTTTCGTATCTCTCATAAATTTCGAATATTTATATATATATTTTTCAAATAAAAGGTTTGATTGTTGATTTTTAATCATCCAAATTTTTTTAAAAAAAATAAATATCTTTTTTTATATTTTTTTATTTTTTTCGAATTAGAAAAAAAATATTTCAAATTTGTTATTTTGTTTATTTTGTTGTATTATATTATAATAGTTGTTGTATTATTACATATATGTAAAATAGTAGTAAAAGTAAAAAATAAAAAACTTTCAGGTAAAATCATTCAAATTTTTAAAAATAATAATGTTTTATAAATCATCATCATCATCATCACTTTGTATCATCATTATCATTTTCATCACATAAAAAAAAAATTACATTTTTAATAGCAAAATTTTATCATCAAAATAGATATTTAGAATTACAAAATCTTTATTTTTTTAATCTTCTTATTTTATAAAAATCGTCACCAACATAATAGTTTCTTTTTTATATAGTTATTATTTTAATAGCTATTTGTACACCCCCTCTTATAACATCTATAACATAATAATATAATATATATTTTATAAAGACACCTACAAAATGTAAATAAACGAATCAAAACTAACAATAAACACCACTTGTGTATATAAAAAATATTATTGGGTGTCCTAGTTTAATAAAAAAAATAAAAACTTGCCTCTTTAATAAAAGGTTTGGAGAGAAAAAAAAAAAGAAAAGATTTTAATTCTCATCTTATCAATTCAAATTATTTATTTCATAATTTGGGTTACTATTCTTGTTGGGGTGTTATTATACACAAAGTTTTACAACATTAAATAAAAACATTAAATAAAAAAAAAAAAAAAATTCATATATTTAAATTTCATCCAAATCTTAAAGAAAAAGTCATTTGGTATGGGTAAAACTTAATTTCCTTCGAACAAACTATATAGATT